CTGCCATGCTAATGGGAGAGAGAGAGACAGGACCCAAATAAAAATACAGAGATATATGTGCAAATTGATAAGGACCATAAAGGAAAAATACAGAAGGCTCTGTAGAGGCAGCTGTTGAAGCCATGTCTCCCTTGGCACTGCTTTTGAGTCATCACGTTAGCACACACTGGAACTCCTTGACGTTGGGGTCTATATCCTTTAATTGGCATATCCCACCCACGGTGGTCAATGACTAGAAAAAAATCTAGCATTTAGTTTGCATGTATGTGTCCTACATTCAGCTGTTCCAATCGTCTCTGAGGCAAGGAACTGTCTCTGTTACCCTTGAAGCCCCTAGCACAGGACTTTACATATAGTTGGCTATTCTATATTCTACTGTTTTAAAAAATTCAGCTAGATTTGTTTTGATTGATTGCTTGTACTGTTTTTCATACTTGTATGCAGTAAGGTAATATCTTTGACTCAATTCACCCATTAGAAGGAAGGGCCCAGGTGGCCTAGGGTCCTTTTGAAATTTGATTTCCTGGCCAGCGTACCCACAGAAGGCACAGATTTAAAACCGCAAACCCTGCAATTACTCAAACCCTTTCCAGTTTGAAATGACTAATGTGAGTCATCTACAGAAAGAATTATCTTCCTCTGAGCCTTTAATTAAAATTTCACCCAGGCATTTCCATCGATTTTATTTCAAAACAAGGTTTTCTTTGTAAAACAAAAGGATACCAAGACGGGGATAAGATGGGAGGAAGTAAAAATTGTTTCTTGTTCACCAGCATTAATGTTATGTACCCAGGAAAAATGCCTAGTGTCGGGTCGAACAGAGCCCAAGACTCCAGTTGAAATCACCAAAGTGTCAGAAAGTTTTCTTCTTTGGGCGAGGTTGCTGTTGACATTAAATTAATGTCAGATTTATTCAAGTTGATTTTTTTAAGGGGGGAAAATAAAATGATAGGTTTGAGCTTTTGTTTTGTTTGATTTTCCACTTGGTTTATTTTGTTCCCATATGTGTGTATAGGGAGGCATGGGGAGGAGAAGGCAAGGGGGGGGGGATGTCTCCCCTTGTTCCGGGAATTTCTGAGGAGAAAAACAAATGTACTAACATTATTTATCCTTGCAAAAGAATAAAAGATTTCAAGTGGTTTCAACTCCAGCATCTGTCAACTCCTTACCCTGTCAACTTTTAGTGTTTTAGAAGAGGAGATGCAATCATATTATTCATTCTCCGTATTCCTGCAAACTCCTAATTAAATCAAATGGACTTCCCATCGTATATACTCTCTTTAATGTCAGATATTTGAACACGTACTAAGTCAGGAGTTGGAAGCCATCAAGAGAAGTTTTAACAGAGCCCTGCATCTCCTTTCCCTGTTTCATCCCCAAGGCAAGTATGAGGAAGAGAATAATGTGATGTACTGGTAGGTTTGCTACCTGAAGAATGGAATATAATTTTCTATAGGCAATGTTCTAAATGGCCATTGATTTCTAGATCATCCCACAGAAGATTTATTTAAGCAGTGATACAGATGAAATCATACTAGGGTTCTGATTCATTCTGGATTCACTTTATTTTTTTTAAAGGATTTTATTTATTTATTCATGAGAGAGGCAGAGACACAGGCAGAGGGAGAAGCAGGCTCCCCATAGAAAGCCCAATGTGGAACTCGATCCCGGGACCCTGGGATCACGACCTGAGCCAAAGGCAGACAGACGTTCAACCCCTGAGCCACCCAGGTGTCCCTTATTCTGGTTTTAGAAGGCTTCTGTGGGATGCCTTAAACATTTAGCCACCATTTATAGACAGTGTTTTTATGGGAACAGACATCCTGAAAGAGTTAACAGAAGAAAAACTCGAAACAGATTGAGTTGGCAAGACCAGCTGCCACCTGTTTTGGGAGAGACAGTCTTTGAGGGCACCTTCCAGGCATTTTACCCTTTTTGGGGTTTTCTTCCAAAACTGCCATAAGCTGAGTGCTGTACAGAGGCTCCTGTGTCATCCTTCCGTCCCCCAGGAAGGGTAGGCAGAGCGAGCCGGATTCACCCAACATGGTTTCTGCTCTCCCTGTCACACACTTTATGCTCCAGCAACAAGGAAGCATCCCTTCAAGCAATAGGCACATTCCCCTCTTCTTGCCTGGAAGGACCGTCCTTTTCTTGTCTGCCTGACAAAATGCTGCTCCCACTTTGCCTCCCCTGAGAAGCCCCCCTGGCTTGCCCTTGTGGGGCAGAGCTCTGCTGCTCTCTGGACGTCCTCTCCTTGAACCCCTCCTTGTGATCACTTGAAAGCCTGAGGCCCCAATGGGCTGTGAGCACCTTGACCGCCAGGACCCCCCCATGGGTGTTCGTACATTTCCTGCGTACTGCTGACACAGTGTGATCAAGGAGTAAAAACACGGATTGGGTGTTTCTGGCTGTCCCAGGGCACACTCGCCAGCATGCGTGCATCCCCACCTCCTTTGTCTACACTCGTAATATTTTCTTTCTATTCCAGATAAATATTAGATTGGTGATTCTTGTCTCCAGACCAGAGCTAGAATATGGCAGGCGGTGGGTGTAGTAATTCTTGGTAACTTGTGGGAATCTTTTTGGATGCTTTAATTTGGTACTTGAAGCCAGGGAACACGGGTTGAGCTTAGTTGGAAAAATGATTATGCGGTTAGAGCTAACTTTGAAGAAGCAGTATTATATGCCAACTGCTCTGCCAAGTGATTCACATGCATTAGCATATTTAATCATCACGTAAAAGAGGATGTACTATTTTATCAGTCCCGTTTTCTAGGCAAAAAAAAAAAAATCCAAAACATTAGTTAATTTAAGCAACCTGCAGAGCTTGGAATCAAAATGACACTTATTCTTATTCTCAAGTGTTATACAAGCTCCCCCGCGGAACTTGCCCGGTTTTAACCAAAGTGCCATGCTTGGGTGAGCTTGATCTGCTGGGTTTGGGATCCAGCTTGGCTTCAGCCAGAGAGAGAGTCCTAGGGAACGAATGGAAGCAGAAAGAAATGGAAAGGAAAAGACATTGTAGAAGGGACTAGATCATAGTTTCAAAATTATATTTATGACACTAAAGGAAACTATGATATGATTCAATATTTATAGATTTTTTTGTAAGGTATACAATACATGCTCTTAACTTTTCCTCTCTGATATTCATGATTGTTTATCTCACATGTTTTGTTTACTTAAATTGTCTCATCACTGTCTCCAGTGAATGGATGGGGAAAATCTACTTAGAGCAGCAAAACCCTATCTGGCCACAAGATGAATCCCATCATAACTCTTGAAGATTTGGGTTAGGATCAGCTGTGGCTGAGAGATAAATGTTAGCAGATTCGTGAGGAACACATTCTAGATATTTCTAGTTGACTCTGGTGAATGTTTTGTTTTTAAGATTTTTATTTGTTTATTCATGAGAGACACAGAGAGAGAGAGGCAGAGACACAGGCAGAGGGAGAAGCAGGCTCCACACGGGGAGCCCGACGTGGGACTCGATCCCGGGTCTCCAGGATCATGCCCTGGGCTGAAGCCAGGCGCTAAACCACTGAGCCACCCAGGTTGCCCTCTGGTGAATGTTTTTGAGTATTGACTACATCACCATGCATTGTGCCATCACCGGAGTTAAAGGTATTCAGAACTCGATGCCCGTCTTCACAGGGCTTAAAAAACAGACATGAATCAACCACCATGATGCAGTACAATAAATCCTATCTTAAGAGCGTGTGTAAAGTGCTGAGGCAATAGTGAAAGAGCTTTGTGGGTCTCTCAAACTATAACAGCTTGGCTCATGGATTAATGCTTATGATTTGCTTGGTGTTCTTTTGGGTGCAGACTCACCATGAAATAATGGATAAGGTTAGTCTTGAAACAAAGCATGAAAATAGTTGCATCCTTTGGTAGAGGAATGCACAGAATTCTGACTACATCTGCTCACTAAAATGTTGAGGGTGGAAAGCAGTGATGTAATGTGGCTCTAGTCGGTCCATTGGCAATTCATACCCATCTCCTGAAGGCTTACTGTGTGTGAGATACCAATAGCCATTATGGAGCAATGGGCAAGCGGTTGGGGAAAAAAATAAATAAAAAATCCCTCTAAATAAAAAATGCTTTAAAAAGAATACATCTTCAGGAAGAATAATTTAATTTTATAGCTGGAGAGAGCTGAAGAAAACATCTAGATTAACTCTATCACTTTATGGATGAGGGAACTGAGGTCTAGGGATAAAAAATGATTATTTTTTTTCAAATATTCCATGTCTAATTAATGGCAGATCTGGGACCAGAGCCCTCAGAAGACAGGTAGGCAATGCAGTGGGTAGCTCACCTGTGAATCCTAGAGTCAGACGGTGTGGGCTCTGGTCCCATCTCCACCACAGACTGGCTAGGTTATCTTAAGTAAGTTATTTAAACACTCTGACTTTCAGTGTCTGCATCTGCAAAATGAGAATAATACTATAGTCTCTGTCATACATAAAATGAAAAAATCCATGCAAAACATTAATTAAGAATGAGATGAGGCAGGGGTGCCTGAGTGACTCAGTCAGTTAAGCATCTGCCTTTAGTTCAGGTCATGATCCCAGGGTTCTGGGATTGAGCCCCACATTGGGCTCCTGCTCAGTGGGCAGCCTGCTTCTCCCTCTCCCTCTGCCAGCTGCTCTCACCCTGCTGGTGCTCTCTCTCTGTCAAATAAATAAACAAAATCTTAAAAAAAAGAATGAGATAATGCATATTAACCAGGGACATAATAATAGCTTGATAAATGTTAATTATTAGAACTCATGTGTCCCGATTTCTATTCTTTTTTTTTTTTGGTGTGTGTGTGTGTGTGTGTGTGTGGTGTGTGTGTGTGCGTGTGTCCCGATTTCTACATTAGTAGTCTTTCTGCCACAACAGTGAAAATGGGATTTTGTTTGTTTTTTGTTTCTATGACACAGGAAGAAATCTGTGTCTCAGATCCATATGCTCATGTGGTGTTGGTGTTCCCCTTACATCTTCTCTTTCAGGGCCAAGGAGATCAAGATCAAGTTGGGAATTCTCCTTCAGAAGCCAGATTCAGCTGTTGACCTTGTCATTCCATACAATGAGAAGCCAGAGAAACCAGCCAAGACCCAGAAGTGAGTCATGAGCATGGATTCCACTCCTTTCCCTCCAGAGAATGGCTATTTCTCAAGTGGATAACACCATCCCTCATGTGTAGAGCCCTCTACACTATTACTCATTGAAGATCATAAGATCCCTCAGAGAGTTGGTTTATAAATAAGCATTTTTTACTCTCCTATGTCTGGAGCTTAATATTGGCTACAATCAGGTTACTTAAAAAATAACAATAAGGCCCTGCTGGGGACCTCGTTGGAGAGATAGACGGTCCCTTACAAAATGGCACCAGCCTCCTCATCAATTATTTACCACCCAGAAGTAGGACAAAAAAATACCTATTCACCTTTGGAGTCAGGTAACTGCTCCTGACCCAATTACTTAAGATCACTGGATGCTCCCCTGCTAAGGAATGAGCCAAAGCTGCTTCCTCAGCAGGAAGTTAGAAATGGAAACATTTCCCTCAGGAAGATGCTAAGACCAAGGCAGATAATTTAAGCCTAATAGCTTCTTTACCAAAATAGGATTCCTTCAGCGTCTGATAGAGGAACAGAAGATGGTTCCTTGACCGAGGAATGATTTCTTGCCCAGTCTATTCTATTTAAAATGTATATTAATCATTTTAACCCCAGTCCATAAATTAGTATTCGTGGCTGGTCTTCCTCAGTTCTCTCTCCCTTTCCACCCACCTCCCCCTACACACTTCCACTGATGCAGGCATAGAGCAAAACCATAATTCTGTAGATTGAAGCTAGTGTGGCAGGGAGTGTGGCTCACCATTTGCACAGACTCTGCTGTGACTTGGTAACACTATTCCAAGCATGTGCACTGCTTCCCATTGTTCCACCAGCCATGAAGCCAATCCTTGCCTCAACACAACCCTCCATCTGTCCCTTCAACCATTCTCAGGGGCATGAAAATCAAGAAAGGAAAGTGAGCAGGAGAAAAGCCAGATGTATTTGAATTCCTTCACTCTGCTATCCTAAAGCATCCAGGAGATCGCAGAAACACAGGAACCCTTTTAACCTCCATTTCTTTTCAAATTTGACATATGTATAAACTGACCATCTTTTCTTCATCCGAATGACCTTCAACTTAATAGAGCTGGAGTGGCTGGGAGATAAAAAGACGAGTTCTTCTTTTTAAATCTTTTTCCATCAACCTAAGTGGATGTTTCCATTTTCCTCTTATTACTTCAAAGGGATCTCAAACCGGAAGTGAGGCGTAATTGAGTTTTTGCATTTAGAAAGGGGAAGCTAATTCAGTGTGGAGTGGCAGGTGCTAGGCACCAGTGGAGAATAAGAACCACATTTCACAGCAGCAAGAGATCAAAAAATCCATTTTGAAGAAAACAGTGCGGTGGTTATGTATCTGTAGGAATTCACTTTAAAAAATATATAGAAATGCATTTTCTGATTCTCTGCTTTAATGTTCCGCAAAGATACTGGAGCTATGTAGCTTCACAGGGGCTCGGAGAGTAGTTTTGGAAGGAAACCTGGGGTTGGTATTTATTGGATGATTTTCTTCTCCTGTCTTCTATCTCCTTTCTTCTTCCAGAAGTTTGAATTGTTTTGGAAAAAAAAAAAATCCTTCCTATCCCTAGAGACTATTTGTGTGTCTCTGCTGCATTTCTCACAGTGACCATGACAAGCCTTTCCCACCATCTTCTGAGCCCTTAAACCAGTTCCACCTCCTCAGGTTTGGCAAATTTTCCATGCCTTTTAACTAACAGGAAAAGACTATGTTCTGCATGAGCTCCATCAATTTCTCTTCTCCCCACATAAGATTTCTTTGTATTTTTGTACCCATGTTCTTCTTTCAGAGAAGAAAATAAACCTTCTCCAGACTGAAGGTATTTTTAACCCCCTCAGCTTTTAAAAAAAGCTATCCCCTTTTTTAAAATAAAGTATTTTCTGGGGCGCCTGGGTGGCTCAGTTGGTTAAGTGTCCAACTCTTATTTTTGGCTCAGGTCGTGAGATCGAGCCCCATGTCAGGCTCCATGTCAGGCTCTGTGCTGGGTGTGGAGCCTGCTTAAGAGTCTCTCCCTCCCTCTCCCTCTGCCCTTCCAGCCTCCCCTCTCCCTCTCAAAAAAAGCATTTTCTATTTTTAAATGTTTTTATTTTTCTTATTAGAAAAAAAGAAGTAAAAAAAAAAATAGAAAAGAGTAGCCTAGATCCCTACCAGCCACAAGCAGCATCTGTTACCATTTTAGTATTCTTAATTGCTCTTCTCCCTATGGGCCCATGTTCCACTCTGAAAAAAATCTCTCTCAGCCCCTCATTCCTACTCTTCTCCCTTTCTCTTGCTTTCATCAGGTAATTCTAGAAATGGAACGTGTCAATCAAGACGAGACTATGAAACAACCAAAGCATTTACTTGGGGTCGTGGGGATGGCAATCTAGGAGACACAGGGTCAACGGAAATAAAAAATGTGCTCCCAATTGTCAGCATGAAGTACAGGCTTATAAAGGCCAGATCAAGGTTACGTAACTCATTTTGAAAGAATTGTGATCAACCCTGGCCGATTTTTAACTACCTACTGCACAACTGGCTGTTCAGCCAACAGGTGTTACACTGTCTCTATCTCAGTCCAAAGTGGAAGGGTGTGTTCTAGAAGGAGGTCCAGAAGCAAATGACAAGAGTCAGTTCAGATGTGCTCCCCTTGCTCAACGTCCTCTCGACTCTATTCTGAGTGACTCTTCGCAATGCTTGCTTGGTTTTGAAACTTCTTTCACAAAAGCCGCTGCTTCTGGTATCTTCTCTTCACTCTTCCTTATCCAGATTAAACCTTACTACTCACAGGAACCCTCTCTAAAGCCTCGCCTTTGACCCTTTGCCAGCGTTTGACTCTGCTCAACGCTTGGCCTCCTGAAAATTCCCTTCACTTCTAACCCAGCCTTCTCCTCTCTCTTTAAGGACTCTCACTTTTGCCCACCCTCTGCATATGTGACCATTCCCCCAGGCCGTGCGCTGGGTCCTCATAAAGAATCATAAGCATATTAGTACACCACATAAATTTAGTTTACAATAACTGTCATCATGACTTGTCATATAATCAATTGTGAAATGCTCCGGAGCTGATCTAGATATTCCTATAGTTTATTTTATATTCCATATGTTCCTTTTCCCCCTGCCTATGCTACTAATCTTTAGCTACATTTTGTGGTGTTTTGCCACTTTTATAAGCCTAAAATGACCTCCACATAGAAGCAGGACCTAGCTGTGCACCGACGAGAACAGTTACCAAGGGTTCCCCTCCCCATACTCCCCCGGGTAAACTGCTGAGCGAGCCTCACTGCCAGGATTACAGCTCTATGTACCATGTTTGGCCCACAGACAGACCACAGACAGACCACAAGAAGTGGCAGATGTTTTCATCTGCATCCCCTCCTGGGCGCCCAGGTCACTGTTGGCCATGGAACAAGGGCTTAACAAATGTCCATGAATGGACTGGAGACGAATCATGACCATATTGCCCTGCGGAGAGAGAAGGGGGGTCAGAGCAGGCACACAAGAGCCAATAAATAACTGGGATTTCATTTTCCTTGTCAAGAAGAAAAGCATGTGGGAACATTACCAGAAGGGTTTAAACATGTCCCAGGAAACGTGTAGATTAAAAACACAACAAAACAAATAACAAGGAAAGGAAACCACTGGTGTTTAGAGAGGTTAAAATACTTCCCCATGGTTACAGCTAGGAAGTGACAGTCTTGCCACCAGTTGTCGTAATGGTTCGTGGGGCTAACACTTTCGAATTCTAAGTTTCAGGTTATTTATGGCTTTCATCAAGCAGACTAACTATGGGCACATTGAACCATCATTAATGTTTGCATTGGGTGCATGCTTGTGGCAAATTAATGCTGCAGGGGGTACGCCATCAGACAGGCGCAATGGGAAAAATTCTCCACGACTGACAAACTCTACCTTTAGGCAGTGGGTGCTTTGTTGCCACGGAAGACATTCAACAAGTAAATAGGTAAGAGTAGAGTAAAGAGAGAGAACACTTCCAGTCGAGATGGTCACTTCCTGGACCAGTTGGCATTTACCCTGGGCATTATAAAACACACAGTTAATCATCTCTACAAATGTTTATTATGCCTTTCTTATGAACTGACTTCCTCCCCCTTCCCCTACACCCACCCACACATGGAGACTCAGTGCCCACTCTCTGTGGTCAGCAATGACCTTGCAAACCATGGCACTTACTGGCCATTTAGATCTGCATCTATCTTGTTTCCAAAGAAGTCAGACTTAATGAGGGCTGGCAAATTCTGAGAATCAGGACAGGATGAACCTCTGTTACCTCCTAGGCTGGTAATCAGAACACTGGGCTCTATGCTGTGGGCCATGCGTCCCGCTCATCTGTGTCCTTGAATCAATTTGGATTAATTTAACCCCCAGGCGGGCTCTGCATACGTCCTTTTCAGGAATTTAATCTTGGCTGTGATGTACTGCGGCTATTAATCATTAGTCTGGTTCTAACAAGACCATTTGGGACAAATTGGATCTGGTAGCGTGCTTAGGCTTGGTGCACCTGCTTATGCCATTTCTTCTTCCTGTGGTCCTCTCCACCAACCAGAGGAAAAGAGGGGGAAGGAAGGTGATTTCATTTTATGAGAGTTTAGAAAATCAGAAAGAGATTCAGTGAGTGAGCCAGGCCTTCCCCTTTCTGTTTCTTTTGTCCAATTATTTAATGTCCTGCTATTTCTGCCAATAATCAATAGAGCCTTGGTGGGTGTCTATTATATGCAGAACATTGAAACCGGTGTAGTGAAGAAATTAAGATGTGTAAGCCTTACTACTAAGAATGTAGGTATGAAATAATGTATATATAGGAAGAATTGTCTGTATGCGGTAATAATAAAGGAGAGCCAAAAAGGACTTAATGACCTCTAGAAAACAGGTCCCTTTCTGGTTAGACATAAAATGAGGCAAAAAATATAGGGATGTACTTGTGATCCCTTCTTCATGTCATCTCTCTAACCAGAAGAACACAGGGGGAGGGAAGGTAGTTAGTTCACTTATTAAAAATAAATTTCCGAAAAAAAATAAAAATAAATAAAAATAAATTTCCGAGAAATTAGTGTGGAGCTCTTGATCAATGGCACCCGTGTTTCTAGCTAGGGAAATAGAAACCGTGTGAGATTATTTCACCGGGTTTGTTACCCTCACTTTTGGCATGTTTAGTCTTCAAATACTAAAAACATAAAGCTTTATGGAAAATCAAATAATTAAGGCTCAAAATCTGTACATATTCTGCACTGAAGAACATAGAAGTGAAGGCAACATTCACAGTACTTTAGCCAAAAAATCTACTGCCACCTTGGACTCTTTACATAAATAAAGTGAAGCTGTATCCAAGCCTGGACAGCACAATGAAAAGTGGAATTAGTAATTGTCTTATCAACCTCAGCTGCTAATCTGAAAGCTTAAAACTCCAAGATAGATATATTTTTAAAAAAGATAGAAGCAGGAATGTTCCTGGACTGTCTGAACAGTAGAATAAAAAAAAAAAAAAGAAAAAGTGAAGCGCTAAGGAAATTCCAATTTAAGGAAAACACCTTCATTGGCCTTAATATTCTAATACACACCTTGTTAGCTTCTTTTCACTTGACAGGAGGAACTCACATCACAATGCCAAGAGTGAGAGCAGGTGAGCCCCAGGAGAGCACAGTCAGCCATTTTTCCCAGACAACGGCCGCCTGCCTTGACACAATCCTTCTGTGAGAGAAGAACTGGCTGTTATAACTGCAGGGTTTCTGCATATATAAATGTTAAAATAAAAACAGCCTAAGGGGGGCTTTTGTGTTGGCTATTACCTTCCCCCTCTGAGTCAGCATCTAGAGAATTTATATGCAACCTTCTTATTCACAAAGTATAACCACTTTTCTTCTCATAAAGAAAACATGTTTTAAAAATCATTATCCTATCCTAACTGGGAGAGGAAAAGTGCAACCAGATTTTTTAAAATGTAGACATAGCATGGTCACATTCCCACCATGAGGCAGGATCCCACCTTCCATCGTCCACCAGCCTTAATGATGGCAATGGGATGTGGATGCAGAATTGAATGCCTTTTGCTGATTGAATTGGGTGGCTAATGTGGAGCCCTGGTGAGGCAGAGAATTTGAGTTCAATCCCTACAATGGGGCAACTGGATTTCATTCAGTCACATTCGGGGGAAAAAAGACCACAGTTGGCAATACTGTCACGGGATATACAAAAATGTCAAGACACAGCTTCATGACAAATAGATTCTATTTTTAAACAGCGATAGACCTAAAAAGTTTGTTCAAAAGGAGAGGAAAATGCATAGTTTTGATGTGTGAAAGCAAACCCAGCCCACTGAATCTGATTGCAGGAAAGAAAATAACTCAAACCTCCTCATCCTGAGGATGGGTCATTGGTTGTAGCGTTTCTAAGAAAAGCAGGTCTGAGACATTGTCAGTGCATGTGGCTAATTCCCTTCTCATGGCTGTTGCCTTTTTTTTTTTATTTTATTAATTCTTGATGTAGACCCTCGCTGGATGAGGCCCTGCAGTGGCGTGACTCCCTGGACAAGCTCCTGCAGAACAACTGTAAGTTGGAATTGTCTTCTGGAAAAGGTCAGGGAAGGGACAGAGGCCAAAACTCACCCTTGTGTTGGCTTTGTCCTTCTCCAATTTTGACATGGCTTCAATTTTTCAAAGTGGCCTTAACAAGGGAAGGATGCAGGATGCCTGGGTGGCTCAGGGGTTGAGTGCCTGCCTTCCCCTCAGGTTGTGATCCCGGGGTCCTGGGATCGAGTCCCATATCAGGTTCCCTGCAGGGAGCCTGCTTCTCCCTCTGCCTGTGTCTCTGCCTCTCTCTCTGGGTCTCTCATGAATAAATAAATATAACCTAAAAAAAAAAAGAAAAGAAAAGGAAGGATGACAAGGGAGTGTGGTTATCCAGCTCACAAGAAGGTCTACTGCACAGTAAGAGACTATGGAAATAAAATATCCTGAGGCCTGGTGACTGCAGGTTAATTTCCCATCTGCCCTGCTTCCTCGTGTGAGCAGAACAAGCAGCCTGACCTGTGTGCTTCTTCAGGTTTTCATCAGTGAGAGAGAGAGATACACCTTTTCCAGCTTAGCCTCACGGAGGCGTGGCAAGGATTGGCTAGAGCGGCATGCAGGTCACTGGGTTAAGAATCACAGGTTGGGCACTATGTCCCCGTTCAAGCTGCTCGTAACTGCTTTTGTGGCCCAATGTGGGGTGTTCTCTCCGTCAGCCTTGTTTCCTCCTCTGGTGTTTGCCTTTTATGTCTTCATTCAAGACACCACCAAAATGCCAGCAAGAATCGTTTCCAAGCTAATTCCAGCCCACCTGGGGACTCCTTGCTTTTTTTTTTTTTTTTTTAAAGTATGAAGGAATTTATTTGTTACAATGTAATCATATTGTGGTTATGCTTATTTATTTATTTTTTTTATAAATTAATTTTTATTGGTGTTCAATTTACCAACATACAGAATAACACCCAGTGCTCATCCCGTCAAGTGTCCCCCTCAGTGCCCGTCACCCATTCACCCCCACCCCCTGCCCTCCTCCCCCTCCACCACCCCTAGTTCATTTCCCAGAGTTAGAAGTCTTTATGTTCTGTCTCCCTTTCTGATATTTCTCACACATTTCTTCTCCCTTCCCTTATATTCCCTTTCACTATTATTCATATTCCCCAAATGAATGAGAACATACACCGTTTGTCCTTCTCCGGTTATTGTGGTCAAGTTCAAAAAGGGTGTTGCCTGAGTTCTCCTCTGGGATTTTGATGGAATCTTGTCTCACATTTAGATCTTTCATCTATTTTGAGTTTATCTTTGTGTATGGTGCAAGAGAGTGGTCCAGTTTCATTCTTCTGCATGTGGATGTCCAATTTTCCCAGCACCATTTATTGAAGAGACTTTCTTCTAGTGGATCGTCTTTCCTCCTTTATCGTATATTAGTTGAGCATAAAGTTCAGGGTCCACTTCTGGGTTCTCTGTTCTGTTCCATTGATCTATATGTCTGTTTTTGTGCCAGTACCACACTGTCTTGATGAACACAGCTTTGTAGTACAACCTGAAATCTGGCATTGTGATGCCCCCAGATATGGTTTTCTTTTTTTAAAATTCCCCTGGCTGTTTGGGGTCTTTTCTGATTCCACACAAATCTTAAAATAATTTGTTCTAAGTCTCTGAAGAAAGTCCATGGTATTTTGATAGGGATTGCATTATACGTGTAAATTGCCCTGGGTAACATTGACATTTTCACAATATTAATTCTGCCAATCCATGAGCATGGAATATTTTTCCATCTCTTTGTGTCTTCCTCAATTTCTTTCAGAAGTGTTCTATAGTTTTTAGGGTATATTTTGAGAACCATTTGAATGGTAAATGGTTCTCCAACCTTTTATTTTCAGGTTGTAGGTGTCCTTCTGTCTAAAATGAGTCTCTTGTAGACAGCAAATAGATGGGTCCTGCTTTTTTATCCAGTCTGAAACCCTGCGCCTTTTGATGGGGTCATTAAGTCCATTCACGTTCAGAGTTACTTGAACTTCTTCTTAAAGGGGAGTTTTAAGAGTCCCCCTTAAAATTTCTTGCAGAGCTGGTTTGGAGGTCACATATTCTTTCAGTTCCTGCCTGTCTTGGAAGCTCTTTATCTCTCCTTCCATTTTGAATGAGAGCCTTGCTGGATAAAGTATTCTTGGTTGCATGTTCTTCTCATTTAGGACCCTGAATATATCCTGCCAGCCCTTTCTGGCCTGCCAGGTCTCTGTGGAGAGGTCTGCTGTTACCCTAATATTCCTCCCCATGAAAGTCAGGGACTTCTTGTCTCTTGCTGCTTTAAGGATCTTCTCTTTATCTTTGGAATTTGCAAGCTTCACTATTAGATGTCGAGGTGTTGAACGGTTTTTATTGATTTTAGGGGGGGATCTCTCTATTTCCTGGATCTGAATGCCTGTTTCCCTTCCCAGATTGGGAAAGTTTTCAGCTAGGATTTGTTCAAATACATATTCTGGCCCTCTGGCCCTTTCGGCGCCCTCGGGAACCCCAATTAAACGTAGGTTTTTCTTCCTCAGACTGTCATTTATTTCCCTTAATCTGTCTTCATGGTCCCTTAATTGATTGTCTCTTTTTTCCTCAGTTTCCCTCTTTGCCATTAACTTGTCTTCTATGTCACTCACTCGTTCTTCCACCTCGTTAACCCTCGTCGTTAGGACTTCTAGTTTGGATTGCATCTCATTCAATTGATTTTTAATTTCTGCCTGATTGGATCTAAATTCTGCAGTCATGAAGTCTCGTGAGTCCTTAATGCTTTTTTCTAGAGCCACCAGTAGCTGTAGAATAGTGCTTCTGAATTGGCTTTCTGACATTGAAGTGTAATCCAGATTCTGTAACTCTGTGGGAGAGAGGGCTGTTTCTGATTCTTTCTTTTGAGGTGAGGTTTTCCTTCTAGTCATTTTGCTCAGTGCAGAGTGGCCAAAAACAAGTTGTATTGGAACACGGGGGAGTATCACTGGTCCGTCCAGCTGGTTTTCTGGGGGAGGGGCCTGCTGTGCTGATTTTCAGGTGTTAGCACTTGGGGGAGCTGCTCTGCCCCTGCCTGCTACCGGGCTCAGCGGGGGTTGTTTACCCCGTGGGGCCCCAGGAGGAACAGCAGCAGTTGCTATGGCAACTCTGGAAGCCTGGATTTAGCCTCCGCTGGAAATACGGGGCTCGGGAGCTCTCGGTTCTCCGTCTGCAGGGCCTGGAGGCTCCGGGGCGGGGCCGCTGATCTGCTCAGCTCGGGGCAGGAGCGTCCTCGCTGTCTCAGGCCCTCCCGGCCTCTGCCTGTCCCGGGGGAGGCGGGATCCTGGGCTGTGTCCCGGCGCCCTGTGCTCCGGGGCCTGCGCTGTTGGATTCGCGCTCCCGCCCCGCAGCCCCCTCCCTGGAGCCGCTCCCGAGCCCCTCCGAGCTGCTCCGGTCGGTCCCTCCGTGCGCGCTGCAGCCCTTAGGGAGCTCGGAGCACTCTCCTGCGCTCGCAGGTGTCTGTTAGTGTCCCAGGGATCCCGAGAGCATCCCCGCCCTCCTGGGTCCTGCTCCAACTCCCTGCGAGCCCCTTTCCGCCCGGGAAGGTTGGTGCAGCTCCTGCTTCTCCGGGACGGGACGGGGCTCTCCTGTCCTGGGGACACTCGCCCCGGCCTCAGCCCGGCTCCTCGCAGGGCCCCTCCCCCTCGGAGGCCTTTTGTTCCTTTATTTCTTTTCCCCCGTCTTCCTACCTTGATAGAAGCGCGAACTCTTCTCACTATAGCGTTCCAGCTGGTCTCTCTTTACATCTCAGGCCGAATCCTTAGATTTTCAGGATGGTTTGAAGGTTATCTAGGTAATTTGGTGGGGACAGGTGATTTGGGGACCCTGCTCTTCCGCCATCTTGCCCCTCCCCCCCGGACTCCTTGCTTTTCCCCTAATGCAAATCCTTGCTGATTCCCAAGGTCTATGATATCAAGTTCAAGTTTCCAAGGTTTGCCAGTCTCCACAATAAGCAGATGGGTGGTCTGCAGTCCAACTGAAGTGCTCTCCCCTCCCGATGCAACTTCTACATGCAATCCCTTTGGCTGGAATACTTTGTATTCATGTCTCTACCTATTGAAATTCTTCCTCTCTTCTAAAATTGAATCCAAATACTAAATGCTTAGTCTTCCTTGGCCATCCAGAATGATCTCCCTCTGAGCTTTCACAGCAACTTGTCTGAAATTCTTTTCTCCTGCTTAATACTTATTCCATGTACTTTTTCATTGGCGGCTCCCTCCTGTGATACATTATAAACTCAGTGACAGTCAGGATCTGAATAATTTCCCAATAAGCAGTATACAATTATGGGGAGGATAAATAGTTGAATAGTTCATCTTAAAAATATGATTTCATTTCAGACACCCTACCCATATTTCTCCACCTTTACTGCAAGAATGGCATATGAAATGTTAGATGCTTTGCAAAAATGAGGATTTAAAAAATATTTCTCACAGGAGCATCATGATCAATAGGCACAGAGTAAATAACAAAGAATATACGTTGAATTGTATATGAAATTTTTTTTATGTCTTGTTTTTGGTAGGGAAGCTTCTGTTTACCTGAGATAGAATCATTATCTTGTATTTGGACAGTCAAACCTCGACTCTGTAACTTTCTTAATCATATCCAATTTTGATTCTCTTTTTATTTCTTGTGGTAAACAGAATACCCTGCCCTGACACATATAAAGTGTTGACTTAATGGGTGAATGAATTAACTCAACTTGCTTCCTGGACCCAGAAATCGCATGAAGTTGAACAAGAGAAAATTTTTTTACGTTTCTATGTTTATCAATTGACTTTATTTCTTACCTTACACAATAGTTTTGGGGCCAGTTGCAACCTGACAGATGATGTATTGATACATTGTGAGTGCTAAGTATCCTGGGTGCAGGTATTTATTGCTGTGGTCAAGAACCCTGAGAATTAGCAGAACTTTTTTCATGTTTGCAAAACCATTAAGGAGAAGGATATATATTTATGTGCCCATATGCAATCCTTTTCAGTCATGCTAATCCTTTGGGCCACACA